CAAGGCAGATTCAGAAGAGGATGTGGAACTAGAGATATCATTGCTGAAGTCATATAGGTCTTGGTTGAAAGCAGAGAATACCAGAGTGATGTTTGTTGTTGTTATCGTTAAGTGCCGTCGAGTTGATTCCGACCCATAGTGACCCTGTGTAGGGTTTCCAAGGAGAAACTGGAGAGCTTGAACCGCCAACCTTGTAGTACGAATTTGCAGTCTGACACATTAGCCCACAGCGCCACACCAGGGCTCCAGGGTGATGTTTACTTGTGTTTATTTATGCAAAGGCTTTCAACTGTGTGGATTATACCAAGCTATGGATAACAATGGGAAGAATGGGAATCCCAGAACACTGAATTGCAGTCATAAGGAAACTGTACACAGACCAAGAGACAGTGTTCGAATAGAACAAGCAGTGAATGATTTAAAATCAGGAAAGGTGTGCACTAGGGTTTATCTTGTCACCATATTTATTCAATCTGTTTGCTGAATAAATAATCTGATAAACTGGATTATATGAAGAAGAACGTGGCATCAGGATTAGAGAAAGTCTCATTAACAATCTGCGATATGAAGATAAAACAACTTTGTATGATGAATGTGAAGACTTGAAATACTTACCAATGAAGATCAAAGACTTTAGTATGGATTGCTCCTCAATGGAATATAAACAAAAATCTTATAGCTGGGTCAATAAATAAATTCATGATAAAGAAAAGACTGAAGTTGTCAAAGTCTTCAGTTTACTTGGATCCACAATCAATGCTCATGGAATCATCAATCAAGAAATCTAATGATGTATTGCATTAGGTAAATCTGCAACAAGACTTCTTTAAAGTGTTCAAGAGCAAATATGTCAGTTTGGAGACTAAGGTGCTCCTGACTGAAGTCATGGTATTTTCAATCACCTCATATGCATGTGAAAGGTGGATGATGACTAAAGTAGACTTAGTATCAGTGCTTTTGAATTATGTGGCTGGAGAATATTGAAAATACCATGAACTGCCAGAAGAACAAACAAATCTGTGTTGTAAGAAATATAGCCAGGGAGAAGAGCACAAGCGGAATGTGGGACCCTATCCAGAGAAGCAGGGACACCAGAGATGATGTCAGAGATGAGGACATGGGGAGATAGAGTAGCTGAAGACTCTAAATTCATGGAAAGAGAAAGACTGTGTGCTGGTGGCCAGGAGGCAGGCTTGCAAAATGTACCCTTTAGCTGTTGAAATGATTATATTTTCCTAAGTGTTTTTGTGTAAATCTGCCCCCCCCCAAAAAAAACCCCAAACAAAACAGAGGGAATAGAAGCAAATACTGTTGAATGATGATGCACAGAGGGGATTGTAATCATTGCAATGAAACAATGAGTGTAAAACCGATGTTCCTCCATGTAAACTATCACTCAATTCACAATAAAAATGTATATATATAAAAGTATAGCCAGAATGCTTCTTAGAAGCAAGGATGGCAAGACTTCATCTCTTATTCTTTGGACATGTTGTCAGGAGTGACCAATCCCTGGAGAATGACATCATGCTTGGTAAAGTGGAGGCTCAGCAATGAAAAGGCAGGCCCCCAGCTAAATGTATTAACACAGTGGCAATAACAATGGGTTCAAACCTAACAACTGTGAGAATGGCATAGGACTGGGCTGTGTTCCGTTATGCTGTGCATAGAATCGACTCTATGGCACCTACTAACAAAAACAGTAACAACATGAATTCCCTACTCCAAAGAATTAAAACATATGTAATATTAAAATAACTATTTGGGAAATCCTGTTGATAACTTTGTTTTATTTAATATTCCTGTTAAAGTGCTTTTCTCTTTTATCAACCTTTTTATTAAAAGCTTCAAAATAAACAAGCTCTGCTATTTAAAAAATTCCTTCCTCTCTCACCCCGTGCATTTCAATAGTAATGTATAATTCCTTTAAGGAGTACGGTTAGCATTTATATGGGAGTTATAAATGCATTTAATCATTTCTACCCAAAGTTTGACAAAAGTATGGTAAGGAGGACCATCTGTTTTGTTTAAATGAGAAATGACCCAGAATTCTGATTTTAATTAACCTCTTTGTAGCTTTATGTTTGGGCTGGTTCCATGGGTAACAGTTCAAACTAAGTGTAGAGAGAAGCTGACCAAATTCTGCCAGTACTGATTTGTTTTAACAACTGTCAATGAACATAGAACAAATGTACAAGACAAGGTTCCTGAATACATATTAAAATGCATGATTTTACAGAATCAAAAAAAGCACTTCTAAAAAGGAATAAAAAAAGTTTTAAAGTTCTGGAATCTTACAACTAAAGAAAATGTTCAAGTGGTATCTTTACTATATTAAAAAATAATTTAAATATGTAAAATCAGTATTAGTTCATCAAGTTCTCAACTACCAACCAAAAGATCTGTGGTTTCAATCAACCAGCTGCTCGAGGGAGAAAGATGTGGCAATCGGCTTCTGTAAAGATTGTTATTCTTAAGTGCACTCGAGTCAGTTCCTACTCATAGTGACCCTGTACAGAGTTTCCAAGGAGCAGTTGGTGGGTTTGAACTGTGGATCTTGTCATTTGAATCCAAGTGCTGGTCCTAGAGTGCCACACCAGGAGCCTTTTGAAGACTATGGGGGAAGTCCTACTCTGTCCTACAGGTTGTAATGAGTTGGCAGGGAGCTGCCAGAAATCAAACGGGATTCAGAAGACGACATGAAACAAGGGATGCCATACCTGATGAAGATCAAAAGGCTACAGCCTTCAGTAAGAATTACACCTCAATGTAAAGAAAACAAAAATCTCCGCTGGACCACAAGTCACAACTGGGATTGACTTGAAGGCAGTGTTTTTTGTGTGTACTTATGATCTAATTCCTAGTTTCAATCAACAAATATTTATAGACGCCTTACTATATGCAAGATGAGTTTGGTGGCTATATAAGCACTGGTCTATGAACCACAAGATCAGCAGTCCTAGCCCACCAGCCACTCAAGGGCCGAAGACTATGTCTTCTGCTCCTACAAAGATGCACAAAGCATCAAAATAAAATGGAATAGTCACAAAATAAGAAGGAATACAGTCATGGTATCAAAAGGAATTGGTTGATGTTCAACCATTTCAAGAGGTAGCATATGATCAAGAGCCAATGATACTGAAGGAAGAAGTCCAAGGTGCATTGAAGATATTAGCTAAGCACAAGGCTCCGGAATTGATGGAATACAAATTGAAATCTTTCAAAAAAAAATGATATAGCACCGGGCGGCATCGCCTCAACCATGCCAAGAATATTGGGAGGCAGCTACCTGGCCAATTGACTGGAAGAAATTCCTATTTGTGCCCATTCCAAACAGAGGTGACCCAACAGAATTATCATACAGTATCATTAATATTGCATGTAAGTTAAAATTTTGCTACTTAAAAAGCAGCTGCAAATATACATTGACAGAGAACTTCCAAAGGTTCAAGTTGGTTTCATCAAAAGAGGATATGGAACAAGGGATATATATCACTGCTGATATCAGGTGGATCTTGACTGAAAGCAGAGAATACCAGAAAGATGTTTACCTGTGCTTTATTGACTATATAAAGGCTTTCGATTGTGTGGATCATGACAAGTTATGGGCAACATTGCGGAGAATGAGTATTCTGAAACACTTAATTGTGCTAATGAGGAAACTGTACATTGACTAAGTGGCAGCTGTTCGAACAGAACAAGGTTCTGTTTAAACCGAATGGTTTAAAATTTGGAAAGGTGTGCATCAGGGTTGTATTCTTTCATCATACTTACTCAATCTGTATTCTGAGCAGAAAATCCGAGAAGCTGAATTATATGAAGAAAAATGTGGCATCAGGATTCGAGCAACACTCATTAACAATCTGCAATATGCAGATGATACAACCTTGCTTGCTGAAAGTGAAGAGGGCTTAAAATAATTAATGGTAAAGATTAAAGCCCACAGCCTCAGTCTAAGTTGCACCTCGATGTAAAGAAAACAGAAATCCTCACCACTGGACCAATAAATAACAATAGGATAAAAGGAGAACAGATTGAAGTTCTCGAAGACTTCTTTTTGCTAAGATCAATCATCAACACTCATGGAAGCCGTAGTCAAGAAATCAAACGATGTAATGTAGCGGTAGGTAAATCTGCTGTAGAAAACCTCTTAAAAGTGTTGAGGAGCAAAGATGTCAGTTTGAGGACTAAGGTGCGCCTGACCCAAGCCATGGCATTTCAGTAACCTCACATGAATGTGAAAGTTGGACAGTAAATAAGGAAGACTGTAGAAGAATTAATGCTTCTGAATTATGGCGGAGAGTATTAAAAGTACCATGTACTTCCAAAAGAACAAACAAATCTGTGTTAGAAGAAGTACAGTCAGAATGCTTCTTGGCAGCCAACAAGGCCAGACTTCATCCCTCATACTTCGCTACATTAACAAAATCCAATAAAATCTGAAAAGACAACCTAAATCATTTTAAACACCCTTGGTAAATTGTTGTTGTTAAGTGCCACTGAATCAGTTCCAACTCATAGAAACCCTGTTAGAGGGTTTCCGGAGTGGCTGGCGAACTTGAACCACCACCAACCTTGTAGTCCAACACATTAACCCACAGCACCACACCAGGACTCCTTGGTCAACAGAGGTTTATTTATAGAAGTCTTCTTGAATATAGAACAATGATGCAATGAAGATGTTTTTACAATATTTATTAAGATAACAAATTTATAAATTGTAAGACTCAGAGGCACATAGTTTAGAAGGCCGATAACATGGGAATAATGAAGTTAACACAGAAAAGTGAAAGATAAGAACAGTTACAACCATGACAAAAAAATTTTTAAAGCCACATCCCCAATGAACATATCATAGGAGTCATCCTTCAAAATTACCATGATAAAAAGTTATTTCCTTTAAAGAAAAATATTTCTTTCCACCTACCGAGCCTAGAAAATTCTATTTACAATCAACTGTCTTGCATTTCATCAATATTATTTGATATGGCCTCCTCTATCTGCCATTGAATAGAGTATTGAAAAATTCTTAAGCTATTGTATTTACAAATGCACATAATATTTAAATTTGTTCTTCATTGAGAACAACTGAAAACATACTTAATCAATCACAATACAGATGTTTTACTGCTGGAACACATTTTGTGGAAACAGGTGTAAGGGTAGAGGTGTATTTAGAATCAATCACGTTGCTTCTGATGAAATACGAGGCTGATAAAACTCAAGGTAGTCACAAAAACAGGTCTTTGCTGATGAGTTTATTTCTGTTTAACTGGGCACACTGGACTGCTTCAGTCTACCTTCACCACACTGTATATTTTGGTAACAAACCAAAAGCATGCAAAGAAGCCAATTGTTCCTATAAAAGGAAAAAACACACACATACAAGATAATCAAATTGAGCATTTTTAAAGTACAGTTATTAAAAATTTTCCATTTTTAATAAAATAAAACAACTGTTTTTTTTTTCTTTTACAAAAGGGTAAGAGTTGTACCATCAGGGTAATAACAAAGATTTTCGGCAGCTAAATGAGTGGCTAGAAGGTGCCAGAGAGAAGAGCACGGGCTCTAGTGCAGATTCCACCCTGTCATCTCCAAGCCCATTTCTTCATCTTGTTAAATTTGAAGGAGACAGCTCTAGCTACCTCCACAGACTGTCACTTGAGTAAATGAACTCATGAAAAAATGGAGGTCTTGCTTTTCAAGTTACTTCACCAGTCTAAATTCCAAGGAATTTTAATGCTAGACAGGGACTCTTTTAATGTGGCTGTCTCCTGGTCAAGTGGCTGGTAAACACACTTGGCCAAAATCCAAGTTCATGTTTCATTGACTCCAAGTACAGTAAGTACTCTTTCCTATGATAACATGTGTTTAGGTTACCAAACACAAATTGGAAGACTTTGTTCTGCAAAGGATATACAACTGATGACATCACTTAATATATTTAAAAAATAATTTAAGCTATACATATATTTTTTCTAGGATAATCTCCTAGTAAATATTCAGAAAGTGGGGATATAGAGGAATGCAAAAGAGTAAATTACATAGCCAGCATAATTTTTATATTTAAAGTTCTAATGATTTTCACAAGTAACCCAGAAAATACATTAAAGGAGATTTTCTAAATCAAGAGATCAGATGTGGTATATGAGAAGGCGAACTATGTTATTATACGCATTCACATAATGTACATAGACTGAACCTTTACAATGTGCAATGCACTGTGCTTTAGAGGGCAATACAGATACAGATTTGGGATATTTGAAAAGCTTATTATGGATTGGGAAAACGAATTGTGGAAAAAATATTTTAAGATGAGAAAAACATTTTATCACTATCCTGGCCACCCTAAAAAAGTTAATTGCTTTATTTTATTCATAATATACGACAGATAAAGTATATATACAAAAATAGCATCTTTTATTATGTGACAAAATATATGCTTAGTAAAACAGACTGACAGATAAAATGGTATCAGTTTGGAGTTCTGAAGCAAATATGGACATGTCTTATTTTAGGAAAAAGCAATACATTTAAGGGGTCCACTACTCCCTTTTATAGAACCTTTTTAGTGAAACCCACTAAATTTAATTAGCTTAACTGGATGATTCAATTTGATGTGGCTGCAGAATTTAAGTAACAAAATTTGCTTTGCTCTCAATGAAAATATGACACTTTAAAAGTTAGGAACAATAAAATTTAGTTGTGCCTTCGTCATATGTTTTGGAAAACAATTTTCACTAAGATCATTACTTTCTGTGTGTAGGCACAGAAAAATTATTCTACATATGCATTTGTGGACCCACAAATACTGATGCACAAAGATAGTAATTCCTTGTTTCACAGGCACTGCTGTTTTACAGACCATTTGTTAGTATTTAGGACTGTGGATTCCAATAATTCTATCACACAGCTTCAAGACACACAGCCACCCACTACTATGTCTCATCAAGACAGAACAGATAATAAGCAAGTGCCTGAAGCCTTTCAACACCACCAGAGCAGCGGGCACACCAACACCCTGTCTGACAGCTCTTAAATGGTAACAGATGAGAAAAAGAACCATAAAAATAACTGGCCTTTTGTTTTGGTTTCTATATTTCCTTACTTTGCATGCAAGACATTCTTAGGTAAAATTTTAGATAAATGCACCTTTACTTTTCTGTGACCAAAGAAATGCCCCAGTTTTCTTATTTTCATTCAGTCACTCACCCCATAACTGTTTACCAAGTACCCCTAAGGCTCTGTAATTTAGAAAGCTTTTATCTCGTTGGGTGGAGAAATATCCATAAAATAAATACCCATACAATACAAGCTATGTCCCATTAAAAACTTGGACTGTAAATTGAAACTAAAAACTATTTAATACTTCCAGAATAAAGAATACTCTGTTATTTTCTGTCCTCGTGTGGTGTTGTGGGTTAATGCACTGGACTGCAAGGTTGGTTTGAATTGCAAGGTTGGCAGTTTTGGCTAACCAGCTGCTCTTCAGAAACCCTATTCAGGGTCACTATGGGTCAGAACTGACTCAATGACACTTAACAACAACAATGACAACAACATTATTATCTTGCCATCTCTCAACCTCAGCTTTACCGCTTCAATCTCTACACACTCTTCAACTCAGGTAAGCTGTAGCTTTTTAGCCTACTTCTAAAATGGACTACCATTAAGAGGTTAGTCGAGAGAAAACTTGAGATTTATTGGTCCAGAACCCCTTCCTTATGTTTTTAGGACAATATTCTGGTCTAGCAGTTTTCCTTTAAGTTCCATTTCATTACCTTCAGTTACTGATGTTCACCTTACAGGTGGGTAGAGTAACTATGTTTAGTTGTTATGAGGACTAAGTATAGGAATATTCAGCAGTGGAAAACCTTTAAGAGTTTCATAAGAGGAAATTAGTTGTAAATTATTTGCCTAAAATCTTAACTAACAATAATCATTTCAATTCTTACCTGTAAAAAGAAAGAAGATTAAAACCATTATCATGGTATAACCAAAGTACAAAATTGTACTTGCTGTTCCTATGATTTGCAGTTTTGAGAAGAAGTAGTGTACTGCATATATTAAGAAATACACAGCAGTAAAGCCACTGGTAAGGAATGAACGCCACTGCCAATGATAATCCTAGGTAGAAAAGAAAAAGATTAAAAATAATTACTTTCCAATAACAGATAATAGGTAGAAGAAAGTTAGAAAGCAAACATACCTAAGTCAAATAGCCCCTAAAACCTAATTTTTGCTGTAAGTTCCAGGCTCTTTCCCTTATTTGAATTTGGCTTATTTCCAATCTTACTACAGGTGCTGGAAAGCACGTAAGCACTTTTGGTGAACGTACTGAATAAGAACCTGTCGAAAAATAATAGTTTACCAATAATGCAGCATTAGGCTGTAGGAACGCAAGTAAAAAATTATTGCTTCAGAAATCATGGAAACCTGCATTAAACAAAAATACCAAAATATGAAGCTACGTATTTCTTGACATACTACTGATGCAGATCTATACACTTCCAAGGGCGGTATTACTCTCTCTCTAACCCTTTTGTGAAGAACTGTGCCCTCCTCTTGGATTTATACCATGTCAAATGGGCATGGTATAATAAATATAATAAATCCTCAAGGGACTCAAATCATGTTCCTTTTAAATGTGCTTGAAGTTTTGAGAACAAAAAGAAGTCTGAAGGGGCAAGATCCAGGCTGTAGTGGACAGGGTAAGGTTTCCCAATGCAATTCACAGAGGAGAGTCCTTGTTCCTCTCAAAAAATGAGCAGGTGCATTATTGTGATGGAAAAGAATTCCGAGGGCAGTGTAACTCTCCTGACTTTTTTCTCACCAAGGCAGTTTTCAATTATCTGAAAATTTCTTTATAATAAGCACCTGTGATTGTCCTGTGTCCTTTGAGAACATCTTTCAAGATTACCCCTTTGCAATTCCAAAAACCAGTTGGCATAATCTTCTGAGCCGACCGCTGTACCTTGAATTGGCCCAGCAGATCCCCTTCAGAAGCCAGTTTTAATATGATCTTTTTTTAATGTGTCTGCAGCCATCCACTTATCAGAGAGACATGCTTAAATACATTTTGTTTGGAATAAACCCATGCACGTATGAACCCTAGTAGCAACACTTTTTGACTTACCCTCATATTTCAAAATTTATGCTTCCAAAGAAAGTAATTTACAAATAGCTTATTTAATGGCAAATAGTATTACGTATCTGAGGCTTTCTGCTCCTGTAAAGATTTACGGCCTCGGAAACCCAGTACAGGGTTGTTACGAGTTGGAACTGACTCCATGGCACATAACAACAACAACAACATCTTAAATTTCAGTCAATTCTATATTACTGTTGTTGTTATGTGTCATTGAGTTGGTTCCAACTCATACCCACCTTATATAAGGGTTTTTGAGAGGCAGTTAGTGGGTTTGAACTGCTAACCTTGTGTTTAACAGTCCAGTGTTAGAAAGATTTTTTGTTTGTTTAAAATCCATTCTTAGTACCAAAATAATCTAAAAGTAAGTTATTAAGACAACGCTTGCTTTTATATAAAAAAATCATCATTTATCTCATAAAAATCATAATTGATTATGAGAATTTTTTAAAGGTCCAATCCTCTGTAATGAGATTTAAAAATATTGGCGCCGGACTGCAAAGTCAGTCTGAACTGCAAAGTTGGAGGTTCAAGCTCACCATTCGTTCCTTGGAAACTCTATACAGGGTTGCTATGGGTCGGAACCAACTTGATGGCACTAAACAACAACAACAAAAAAAGCTACTGTTTGTTATTAGGTGCCATCAAGTAACTCTGACTCTTAGATACCCACCCTACAGGGTACAACAGAACTGCCCATAATGTTTCCAAGGATATCTTTTTGGAAGTAAAGAAAGCATATTTCTCTTGTATCACTACTCAATGTTGTTGTTGTTGTTGTTGAGTGCTGTCGAGTCAGTTCTGACCCATAGCGACCCTGTACAGGGTTTCCGAGGGTGTAAATCCTTACGGGAGTAGAAAGCCTCATCTTTCTCCCGTGGAGCGGCTGGAAGTTTCGAACCGCTGACCTTAAGGTTCGCAGCCCAATTCGTAACCACTACGCTACCAGAGCTCCTATCACTACTCAATATAAATCAAAACCACCAAGCTATATAACCTTCCCAACAACCAGAATAACCCTAACTAAAACTGGGCTTCCAACCTTGGGACATTGCTGGCTGGAAGACAAAATGGTTAGGCTGCTATAGAAAACAGGTGATTCTCAAACAGCTACACATAGAATTATTTGTTATCAGGTGCCATCGAGCTGGTTCTGACTCAGCAACCTTAAGCAGATCAGCACGGAACATTGCCTGGTCCTGTGCCCATCACACATCTGCTGTTCCGCTTGAGTCCATTGCTGCTGTCACTGTGCCAATTCATCTAGTTGGGGTCTCCTTTTTCGCTGGCCCTCCACTTTACCAAGCATGATGTCAGTCTCCAGAGGCTGGTTCCTCCTGATAATATGTCTGAAGTATGGGAGACGAGTGTGGTCATCGTGGCCTCTCAGAGGCATTCTGGCTTTACTTCCGTCAACATAGATTTGTCTGTTTCTCTGGAAGTCTGTGGTACTTTTAATATTCTTCTCTAATACCACAACTCAAATGCATCAGTTCTTCTACAGTCTTCCTTCCTTATTCACTGTCCAACTTTCACATGTATCTGACGCAATTCTACTCCTAGGTTTATCCTTGCAGTATAATGAATTAACTAATGTTTCTTCTAGTCAGTCTTTGTAAACTCACACCAAACATCTTTCTCCTGATGGGTCTGAGTAAGAGAAGGTGGGGGTGGGGGTGGGGTGCATACTGCCACATTATATGATGTAATTGTGATTATTAAAGGAGGTTGATTATAAAAACTTGGAATTCTAACATGAGTATAAAGTGAGTCATTTCATATACAGGAGGGGGTATCTCACTACCATCAAAGAAGAGACAGATGTGGAGTGTGCCCTTTGGACCCTGAGGTCCCTGTATATTGAACTTCCTTGGCCCCCAAACAGAAGCTGTGACATCAGAGGAGTGACAGAGAAGCAGCAGCAGCAACAAAACCAAAAGCAGCGGGCTTCCCATCCCACAGAGCAAGTAAAGCCGAACTCTGGCTGTACTTCTTCCAACACAGATTTATTTGTTCTTCTGGCAGTCCATGGTACTTTTAATATTCTTCTCCAACACTGTAACTCAAATGCAACAATTCTTAGGTGGTCTTCCTTATTCACTGTTCCACTTTCACATGCATTTGAGGCTACTGAAAATACCATGGCTTTGGTCATGTGCATCAGATTTGTCTAATGCAGAAAGTACATCATTTGATTTCTTAACTACTTACTACTTTCATGAATGTTGATAATGGATTCAGGTAAAAATGAAGTCTTTGACAACTTCAATCTTTTCTCCATTTATCATGATGTTATTTACTGCTCCAGTGGTCAGGATCTTTAATTTCTTTACATTGGGGTACAACTCATATTAAAGTCTTTGATCTTCATCAGTAAGTATTTTCAGTGCTCTTTGCTCCCGGCAAGCAAGGTTTTATCATCTGCGTATCACAGGTTGTTAATGAGTCTTCCTCCAATCCTGATGGCATGTTCTTCTTCAGATAATCCAGCTTCTTAGACTGAACAAGTGTGGTGGACGAATACAACACGAGTGCACTCCTTTACAGATTTTAAACCATTCAGCGTCCCCTTATTCTGTAAGAACTGCTTTTGGCCTATGTACAGGCTCCTCATGAGCACAATGAAGTGTTCTGGAATACCTGTTTTTCTCAGTGCTAGCTTGTAATGATCCACACAGTCGAAAGTCTCTGCATAGTCAATAAAGTACAGGTATACATCTTTCTGTTGTTCTCTGTTTTCAGCCAAGATTCATGTGATGTCAGCAATGAAATCCTTCATTCCACATCCTTGTCTGAATCAGCTTGAGCCTCTGTCTATTCCTTGTCAAAGTACTGTTGCAGCCATTTTGCATTATCTTTAGTGAAATGTCACCTGAGTGTGATATTAATGACCCTGTCTAATCATTTCTGCATTCCACAGCCACCTCTCTTTGGAATGGGTACAAACAGGAATCTCTTCAAATCAGTTGGCCAAGAAGCTATCTTCCAAATTTCTTGGTGTAGATGAGTGAGTGCCTCCCATGCTGCATTAGTTTGGTGAAAGATTTCAATTAATATTGTATCAATTCCCAGAGCCTTGTTCTTTGCCAATACCTTCAGTACCTTGAACTTCTTCCTTCAGTACTATTGGCTTTTGATCACATGCTACCTCTCGAAATAGTTGACTATGGACCATTTCTTTTTGGCACAGTGTCTGTGTATCCTCCCAGCTTGGTGTGATATTTTATTCATCATTCAATATTTTGCCCATAGAATCCTTCAATATTACAAGTCTATAATATGAACTATGTACTATCTTAATTTAAATCTAAAGAGGTCTACATTTGATTTAGGAATACAGGTCAATTTCTATCATAACAGAAATTATTTCAATTAACAGTATTCAAACTTGCCATACATCAAAATTATAAATAAATCTACCAAAAATATGTGTAAGTAAAATAAATATTGCTACTACTTACCTCTGCACATAGATGGAAATAGCAAAGAAGTATAGTTGCTTCAGAACATGTAATAACCAAAATGATAAATACTAGAAATAGGAAGCCAAACATGTAATACATCTGATGAGACCTATAAACAAATTGACATATTGTTAAAATTATAAATCTTTTCTCTGAAACTCAGTAAATGATACGCTGTTTTCATTTTTCCTCAACAGAAAATGTTTGCTTTTCCCAAGAAATCAAACAAGACAAATCCTAACAAGCTTAGCTGTTGACGGGGCAGGTGCTGGGCAACAGAAGTGTCTGTCAACGTCACTGGACTTTTGCTTTCTTCTTTGGTAGAACCTGAAACTCGGATTTAGTCAAATATCTTTACTTAACCTGACAACTAGTGATGCAGACACATGTGAAAAAAATTAATAAAAAAACAGATTCAAACTAATAAAAAGATATATTCAATACATAAGTCACTACTGTATATGATAAAAATCACACAGAATTTGGGAAACCACTACAATCTGGAAGGAAAGACAGGTACTGTTGTTGTTGTTGTTAAGTGCCATCGAGTCAGTTCTGACCCATAGCGACCCTGTACAGGGTTTCCGAGGCTGTAAATCTTTGCGGGAGCAGAAAGCCTCATCTTTCTCCCGTGGAACAGCTGGTAGTTTCGAACTGCTGACCTTACGGTTTGCGGCCCGATTCATAACCACTATGCTACCAGAGCTCCTTAAAGATAGGTACTAATCACCCTCAAATTTAGTTATCACTTTCTATATAGCATATGTTTTCTGTGATGAAATAATGACCATAATATACTAAAATACATACACTATAGTAGCTAAGTGCTGTCAAGTCAGTCCTGACTTATAGCAACCCTGTATAGGGTTTACAAGGCTATAAATCTTTGTGGGAACACAGAAAGCCTCATCTTCTTCCTGTGGAACAGCTGGTGGGCTTGAACTGCCAACCTTGTGGTTTGCAGCAGTCCAGCGCTTATCCTACAGAGAATTGTTGCATTCCCAATAAATCACAGAATGAAAAAATTCTTACGATTGGAAAGGACTCTGAAGGTAGTCTACCTGAACCCTTCCTTCAATGCTTGCTCAAATTCCCTCTATCAAGAGCTCAGAGTAGCTCTTCTCGGAAACACTACTGACTAGTTTCCTCAGGTTAATTTTCTGTCACATGACAGCTGTGTAACATAGGCAAATTAACCCCAAAAGCTTCATTTTCATCTCTATAAGATGGAAAAAGTTCTGAGAATTAACAAGAACCAATTAAAAAGTAACAAGTCTTCTTTTTAACAGTTGGAAAAAGTAAAATCAGCTTAAGTTGTCTGGTTATTGCAGAACTGCTTCTGTATTTATATATTTATACCACCATTCGTTGGTACCGACTCAATGGCACCTAACAACAACAACAATATATAAGACGCAAACAGTAAGCTAAGCCCTAGTGTGGCATTGTAGGATAAGCACTGAACTGGTAACTACAAGGCCGACAGTTCAAATGCACCAGCTGCTCTTGAAAACTGGTGGCTGTTGAGTTGGAACTGAAATCGATGGCACACAACAACAAATAGTTTATATTATATGTAACAACAATGGAAATAAGAGGACTTTGTCCATAGCTTACCAAATACTATTGAGAATGAAGAAAAGTTGTATAAAGATGCATCCAAATGGCAAAATCCCTCCCATGATAATACCAGGCAACGGCTTTGTATAGAATGACTGTTCAGGAATTTGACGTGGAATCTGATTTGTTCGAACTGGGTGTTCAATAGCCTAAAACGAAGAAAAAAAGAATGGATTCATGTTTACATAAAAATTCTTCTCTGTATTAGACCATTTGCCTGCTTCTTCTCAGCTCCCATGCTGACACTACTGGCAAAAACAGCTAACTTAAGTCATCGAACTAAAATTTGTATTTAGAAACAACGAACCAGATTGCTATCTAGTACAATATTCAGTCTGTTTACTGTTAACAAGTCACCACTATTTTCAGCAGTTATCCACTAACTAACGGTTTTAGACAAAGCAAGAAATACACAGAAGAATATGGTAATGGTGGTAGTGTGCCATGGAGTCAGTTCCGATTCATAGTGACCCTGCATAGGGTTTCCAAGGCTGTACATCTTCATGGGAGAAAAAAGCCTCATCTTTCTCCCATGGAACACCTGGAAAACTCCAATTGCTCATCTTGAGGTTAGTAGTGCAGTTCACAATGTACTATGCTACTAGGGCTTCTTCAGGAGAATCTAGTGTTGCTTTTAGTACCATCGAGTCAGTTCCACCGAGCACTAGGTGAGTTTGAACTGTCAATGTTGTAGTTCAAACTGACCTTGTGGTCCAGTGCTTTATCCCAGAGCGCTACACAAGGACTACAATTCAGAAGAATATGGTACTTAGAAAATAATGGTGGTGGTGGTGTGCCACTGAGTTGGTTCCTCTGACTCATAGCAATCCGTATAGGGTTTCTGAGGCTGTCAATCTTTACAGGACCAGAAAAACCTCATCTTTCTCCCATGAAATGGCTAGTAGAGTGAGGTTTTTCCTTTTACTTATATACTCATCACAAGAAAGCTGCTGATCCTAAAATGTTTATCAATGTATTTTTATTTGGCAGTAAACAATGTCATCTCTATTCAAACTGCTCAAATATAGTGAATGGCTACATAAAGCTTTATGACCGTAAGTACTGTGTTAATCTCAATTCTTTTTTCACTGATAACATACTACATAAGATGAGTTACTGTCATGATGATTCAGACTTGTGGTGACCTCGTGTGTATCAAAGTCGAACTCTATTCTACAGTGTTTTCTGGGGCTGAGTTGTTGGTAGTGGTGGCCAGGTCTTTTTTCTGAGGTGCCTCTGGGGACCTGAACCTCCAACCATTTAGTTAGCCACTGGACACGTTAATTGTTTGTACCACCCAGCGATCCCAACACACTAATATATAAAGAACTTGAACCTAAAGTACATGAAGAGTTCCGGGATAGCACAAACTAAGCTCGTTTACTGACTTAAAACACTGGTGATTTGAACCTACCCAGTGATACTGTAGAAGAGAGGCCTGCT